AAATTTGCTATACGAAAATATGCATACAATTGACAGGTGCATGATAACAAAAAAGCATGCAAAATACCCAATGTCTATGCATTTTGGTCATAAAAAACGAGTAATTCATCTAATACAACAATAAATCATCTTTAAAATCAACTTGTTTACGGTTGGAAGTTCAACGTATGGAAACATTTAGTACAATTTTAAAAAGTCTAAACATATAAAAAAAAAAAAAAACCTTGAAGAAATACGTTTGATGCTAAATTAGAATCCAGGATTTCGTTTCTCTTTCAAACAATTTCTTTATGTTATCAAGATAAAAATAAGAAGATGTGGTATGATCGCCAATGAGACAACTCTTCACAAGAGACCAAATGACACAGATTTTTTTTCGTTTTCTTTTTATTCTACCAGTTGAATTTAAACGTCATTATTCCGCGCGTAAGCAATTTGTGTATTCCGCAACTAAAATCAGATTTCTTATAAATGATGGATGAACATAAGATGGTTTGAGGGGGAGAGGGAGGTCAAAACATTCAAATAAATGCATACATAGAAACAAGAAGATGTGGTATGAGTGCCAATAAGACAACTCTCTATCCAAGTCACAATGTGTAAAAAGTAAACAATTATAGGTCAAAGTACGGCCTTCAACACGGAGCCTTGGCTCACACCGAACAGCAAGCTATAAAGGGTCCCAAAATGACTAGTGTAAAACATTTTAAACAGGAAAACCAACGGTCTAATCTATATAAAAACGAGAAACGAGAAACACTTAAAAACCACATCAACAAACGACAACCACTGAAACAGGTTCCTGACTTAGGACAGGTGCAAACAAATGCAGCGGGTTTAAACGTTTTAACAGGCGCCATCCTTCACCCTTACTTGAAATAGTAGTGTAACATTACAACATAGAAAGACACACTATAAAATATCAATTGAAATGGCTTAACTCAATCAAAAGACATATTAACAAAAACAAGTAAACATACATTGAACGAATATATTTGACCTATGACACAATGTCAAAAAGACAACTATAACCTTGGACAAAATGGCGTTCAATAAAATAACGTACACAGGTAAATTTAAATATAATAATTTTGTTGTTAGGAGTACGGAGATATTTTTTTACAAAATAAATAAATTTGTTGTTCATAGTACGAGAACAGTAGTGAAAATTTATTGTCATACTAAATACTTATTAAAGGTGGTACATATTAAAAATATTGAGACGAGATATTACATAAAATAAGTAAACATTGAATAACAAAAATGCATTACAAATTGTGTAACCGGTCAAATTAAAACGAAAGTACGATTTGAGAGTACTCGCAGTTACTGAAAGCTAGTTAAAAGCCAAAAACAATTAATAATAAAATGCATGCATCAGAGACTACATGTATCTTCTGTTAAGGCCACGAGAGCTATTGTTATCACTTTGCGTCGTCGTCCGTCGTCATAATTTTTTTCAAGACACTAATCAGCCTAATGTGACCAAACTTTACATGAATGATCTTTGTTGAATCTTGTTTGAAAAATTAAATCAAGGTATTGATCCATCCATAAACAGAATACTAATAATTTTGACACGCAACAATTGTTTGGATTCCAATATTTGTTGATATCACAAGAAACTCACATGTTCCAAATTGTCGAAGGAGGGCAACCATATATTTTTGACACATTTTCATTTTAGCTTTTATATTCATGCAAAACCAAAAATATTTGTGATGATGGACCATGTAAAGCAGACAGGTTTCATATGACATTGTTTCGAAGTTTTTTCTCCTTTGAGATATTTCATATGGTCTGCAATTGAGCCACCTTAGTGCTGCATTGAGTTTACATGCAATGTTTAAATTTTTTTTAGGATAAATAACAAAAGGAAGTACACAATCTTAGAGTGAAAATTGTATCCATTGTATCCATTTTCGTGTTTATGAATGTTTTGAATGACAGGGATACCGACTCATTTAGGTCTAATTGTACGATTCTGTTCTTGCAATGATGAATTATAATTTATTTTAAGTCATAATATTGAGAAAAACATTTAAACAAAAACATCTTTCAGGAAACCAATTTCAGATCCATGCGTTATCTAAATTTTATTATATATTACCGGACAGACGTCAACGATTACAAAAAGCAAAACAAAACAGGAATACAAAAGTCACTATTAGATATCTTGATAAAAAATCATTCACTGTTTAGCTCATTTAGCCCAATTGTTATCACCTGGGGTCCATCTACCTTCGTTCATCATACCTTAATTTCTCCAAAAACGTCTCCTCTGAAACGACTTGTCCAATTGAAACAATACTTAGCCACCATCTACAATAGAGTAACCCGATAACAAACAAACATGACAGTTATTACTAGAAAATGAGCATAGGTCACTGTGCAAATGGTCGTCGAATATCTTGTAAACCGTTATAGCTAGAAAACAAATCTGGTAGCCACATATGATCATAATGTAATGATCTACATACCAATTTATTATCCTAACTATCACTTCTTTGGTATTGCCCTAAGAACAAGATTGTAAGCATTTTTTTCTTGCCTGTCATTTGAAAACTATGATTAGACTTGGATAGTAAAATGGCAGGAAACAATCGGTCTAGATCTTTAATGATATTGACAAATTTCGAGAAAAGAATGTAATTCATTTGCAAAACTTTTCAACTAAATGAAGAAAAAATGTGTTTTACAATTTTTTTACAAATACATGTTGTTTTCTTTGATTCAGTTTTTTTTTTCAATTTTGCCATTTAAGGGAAGATAACTCAGATAAAATTACTTTTATAAAGGAATGTGTTATGCATTTAACTATTTTGTTTTGTAGCAAGAAAACGAGTGCCGTGACCCTATTTTTGTATTTTTTTATTTTCTGAAAGCACATTATAAGAGCTATCTTCTCCTGCAACAGTTTAATTTCATTTTTATCACCCCCTCCCCCAACTAGCTTAAATGATCATACGATTTAAAAAGGGATTTTGTTCAAATGTTGCGGATATTTTTTCTCTTAACTATTTTGTTCATTAAAATAGCTAGACATAATATATCTGTAAACAGCCATAATGATCAGCATTACAAGATATACAATCAAGTCATTAGTGAAAAAAAAATACACAGGAGACTATAAAAAGCATTAGTCGAAGATAAAAAGAGACCATACCATAGCCCTAAAAATCACGAAAAACAAACAGTCTACAAAACAATACTAAAATACTTAAGACCAGACAACAAACCCCTCCACCTAAACTGGTGGTGATTTCAGGTCCTTCAGAATGCACGAAGATCCTGATCCACTAGTTGCATCGGCCTTATTGCTCATGACATGTAAACATTCGGTGTTAAGTCAGATTCAACGATGTCACAATGAAGTAATCATTTATAATTATAAAAGGGGACAGGAATGTGGCTACGTCAATTAAAACATATCTGTGGTCATTTCGTACACAGATATTCAATATTGGTCAAACAAATCATGATGGCATTCGTATTTACTTTCGAAGTAATGACTATAACTATTCCATCATGAGCACTTGATTTAAAAGCTTCCTCGTAACCACCAACTTTATTTTTTAGAATATCGTACGTATCAAGTGGGAGATATTTCTCCATATTCAGGCTACATAGAAATGGAAGGTTCCCAATTTGAAAGTTGAAAACCATTTTTATGTCGTCAACTTCTGATTTCCGTCGAGCCTCCTGGTCAATGTCTAGCTGTGTTAATACATGTAACAGGGTTACCTGTTGGTGGTATCTTTTGTTTCAAGTTCGATTAAATAAATGTGTTCAACATTGTCATCAAACCTTGACTTATTTAGTAAGGACAATCTTTGACAAGCACTGATGATCAGCAAGACAAATTCAACATAAAGGTCAACATGACTCAAACGTTAATTGACTCGTTATAGGAGTAATTACACTTAAATGACTACTAGTGTTCTAGTGTTACCAAACTTTTCGCTTTGTAAACATAGCCATTTTTTATTTCAACAATGCACTTAACTTGCAACGCCAATTGTATTTTGAACGATAACAAATTCCTAAATGGACAGTTTGGATTTTACTTGCTAGAGAAAGTTCAATAAAATCCTTTAAAAGTTTAGGTTTCATTATTGGTACATTTTTTGCATATATCTTTAAAACTAAAATGTGTATGTAAACGTAAACTGTAAACAGAAATAACTGATACCTGGTCTGATTATACCCTTTTTTCAGGGGCATTACTTAAACAAGTAACTTTCAAAATTACCTATTCAAGTAATGTTGAAAACGAGGCTATTTTAAAAATTACCTATATAAGTAACTTTTGTAAAAATTATTTGTATAGGTGTCCATTCATACAGATTTTACTAGCTTTAACAAATTTTCACAGACATCTGGTTATTTTTCCCATAAAATATAGAAACTAATCCTCTTGAAACACTAATTACCTTTCTGACGCACTTACATTTCATATCGACGCTTCTGGGTCAAAGATTGGTCTCTTGGGTTTATCAGAATATCATTTTCGTTGAAAATCTTGAAGGTAGACAGATATAAATAGATGGAAACTAGTGATTTAATTAAGACTTGAAGTTATTTATAATTTGTAACCCAGAACAATAATATATGTTCCTTAAATAATTGTAAACCCTTATTCTTTCAAAGATGTATAAAATAACTTATACAAGTAATATTTTTGTCATTATTTTCAAAGTCACCCATTATCTCTATACTCCTCTTAAATTTAATAAATTCTTAATTTCATGTAATAAAATGATTTAAAAATTCATAAATACTACATTTAGCCCATGCTTCTATTGAGTTATTTAATAATTTTTAAAAACAAAAATTGCCTATAAAAGTAACTAAAAAAAATAACTTGTTTAAGTAACGCCCCTGACACGTTCAGTAATGGATTCGAACCCATACGAGCCTCTTTATTTAATTCTGGAAGGAACCTTTTAAGAAAGTTGCATATTTTACATCTCCTTAAAAGTAATGTAATTCTTTTTCAGAAGGAGTGGTGCAAATTGTGTTGCCTGTATCTTTGGTACTTTGTATATTCATTTGTATTGCTGTTTTGGTCACTTGTTTTGTGAGAAGAAGAAAAAGAAAAAGTATGTGATATTTAAGATATATTTTATCGGGCACTGTATGTATCTCTACTGAAAGCGACCATTTCAAATGATAGTTTTATAGCTGTTGAACAAGCCGGAAAAAAAGTAGAAAACAAGAAAGCAAATTAATCAGTCTAATTAACAAACATTTTATGACAGTAAATTGTATGAAATAAGCTTCGGAATGTATTCAATAATAAATCATAATATGTTAGTCAGTCTCTTTCCTGAGATTAATTATTTTCTAAATATATATATATATCTTGCATACAGCTGTCTGTTTTCCTCGACTATCATGATTTTTGAGCTTCATGGTATTTTGCATTGAAATGAAGGCGTCATGTTTTTTGTTGATTCCGCCTGTAGATACGATATGGGCGAAGAAGATACAGGGAAAACGCGAAAATACAACTATCATTTTAAGGTCGACATGCGATCTTCAACAAAGATAGGAATTGCTTGTTTTCGAGGTCTGACCTTATATATTAAAACACAGGAATAGTCACAGTTGAGTTGAAGACTTACTGATGGTATTTTCCATGTCGATGACATGCTGTGCTGAGTTGGATTTACAAGGTTGGTTATGCCTGCATAGTAGGAGATGTGTTCACTGTCTACACACACTGTCCCGAATGTGAAGTAGAATTATTTGTTTATACATTTATTAGGCCGTTAGTTTTCTCGTTTGAATTTTTTTTACATTTGTCATTTCGGGGCCTTTTATAGCTGACTATGCGGTATGGGCTTTGCTCATTGTTGGAGGCCGCACGGTGACCTATAGTTGTTAATTTTTTGTGTCATTTGGTCTCTTGTAAAGAGTTGTCTCATTATCAATCATACCACATCTTCTTTTTTATATTAGTATTGTTTGTTTCACTTATGCAATGTCCAATAGATAGCTGCAACCAACATGTGTCAAAACTTGATTTTTTTCAGTTCTCGGAAATTAATTGATATAGCGTAACACGACGATAAATCTTCACTGAGTGTTATTTTAAACAGTGCCTAGACAAATCATTTTACTAAAAACGAATTGCAAGAGTTAATGGCCTAATCATGTTTATAAAGAATAGGCAACTTAATATACGATATTTTATTTCTTTCAGGATTTGAAATTTATTTCTTCATCAAAACCTTCAATACGAATTTGAAACTTTTTAATTGTCATGGGTTTCCTAATTATTTACAAACATAATAGAAGAGGTGGTACCATATCAACTGCATTTTAAGTTCAATGCAGAGTGCATAGTCATACGAGATTTTATTTTTCATTACCAATTACGATTTATTTGGACTGTGGTAAATAATTTGTTTTATACAATTTCATTGGAAAAATTGAACAATACGCAAACAAAGAAGCGTCTGATTATACTTTCTTTTTCGTATATCCGGAATTTAACACAATAGTGATCATGAATTTTCTTCCTGTAACACACCACAATACAATGATTTACCCAAATTTCTACTCCTTCTGAACTGTTACAACTGTCAATTCCATGTACATGTATATATAGATGTTTGATATTTTGACCATAACTTATCTTCATTAAATTGATGAGCATTTGTCTGTGTTTCACTAATTCTAAGCAGATTAATACATGTTCCGAACCAGTTGACTTTCTTTATATAACCAACGAGTGTTTTATTTATGTTCTTTATTGGTCTCAAATTAGTTCATGTAGTTATAAAGTCAACGTTTCATAGTTTCCTCTAGTATTGCTATTTTGATATCACTTAAAGAGCAGACAATGCCTTATATCATGAATGCAATATGATACGATCTATTCAAAGCCTTGAAAAAGATAGATACCCCATGTACATTGTGCCTCTTTATCGTATAAACATCATTAGAGAGACAGATTCAATAAACTACATTTGTATCTTATGATATATCATTATTTAACTTATTTTATTTATCTGTTGATATTTTCATTGTAGTTTTGAAAACAATTGCTGAAGAAGAGAGCTTGGAACAGTTTGATGTATAAATAGAACCTTGAAAAATATAGTCAAATAGAATTTTTGTCATTCACAAAAATAGTGTTATCGGTTTTTATTTTACGACTGATTCTGTTTTTGAGGAAAGCATCTTGTCCTCTGTATGTCTTTGGTCTTTTTTTGTTAGAAAAAAAAGATAATGCACGTTGATTGCAACATATTGGGGAAGTCTATTCATGTGAGAGTATTTAAGAAAAATACAGGTGATGTTTTTGACAATGCAACATTGACGCTTCTATTGTATGGCATTAAAGATGTGTTTGACTCTGGACTCTCAAAACAGTTTCGGAAACCGAAAATTTTAAGTGATTTCAATTTGATAAAAACTTCTCCCCAAAGTTAAAACTCTGATTATTTTCATAAGCATTTTAAATTATTTTGATAAATTTAACAAACCATAAGTTGCAACTAGTTCTTTCCAAAATTGACGATCTATTTATACAATTCTGATCCGTTTGCTCCCATTAAAATGTTTACCGTTTTTTGTTGGATTAATTATAAACACAAAAAGTATTTTAGAACATTGTTAATTTGTGAAAAGTTAATTCAATAAAAACCAAATCATGAACTTTACAAATCTTACATTGATATCAGAGATTTTTTGTTTATCATTGTATAATTATAATGGTTGAATTATATATATCTTTAGAAATAAGATGCTTTACTAATTGTATCACTACTAGAAAATATTGAGCAATTCTTATTTTTTACCGTTTGACGGAGTAATTAACTTGTAACATATCCATAATGACAGCACCACGTTCAACGATACGTTAATAATAACTATTCTTAGCTAAATAAATACCTATAAAAATAAGAAGATGTGGTATGATTGCCACTGAGACAAATCTCCACAAGAGACCAAATGACACAGAAATTAACAACTACAGGTCACCGTACGGCCTTCAACAATGAACAAAACCAATACCACATAGTCAGCTATAAAAGGCCCCGAAATGATAAATGAAAAACAATTCAAACAAGAAAACTAACGGCCTAATTTAAGTTCAAAATAATGAACGAAAAACTAATATGATACACAGAAACAAACGACAACCACTGAATAACAGGCTCGTGACTTGGGACAGGTACATACAGAATGTGGCTGGGTTAAACATGTTAGCGTGCGCCCAACCCTCCCCCTAACCTGGACCACTAGTGTAACAATACAACATAAGAACAAACTATAAAAATCAGTGAAAAAGGCTTAACTCATCAGATGGATACAAATAGAAATACATCTAACAAAACGCAGAGTGGACGTGGCAGGGTACTTATACATCCCCACAACAAGAAAGACAGTACTGTGGATTCATTTATTTTCGTGGGTATCAATATTCGTGGATTGAGGAAAACTTGCATTTTCGTGGATATTTGATTTCTTGGTTTTCCCAATCTCTGCATTCAAAGCCTATAGAAAATTTGTAATTCGTTTAACCTTTGAAGTCGTGGTTCACCTGTTTCCACGAAACCCACGAAAATTGGTATCCAACGAATAATAATGAATCCACAGGAAGTACAGAACTGAGAGTACTCGCAGTTACTGACAGCTAGTTCAAAGCCAATAACAACTAATAAAAAAAATGATGCATCCAACACTAAAATATCAATCAGTACACATCTAACATCCAATGGATTTAGTGTAAAGACGTCATAAACAGAGAAAAACATGACCTTTTGCAATGCCAAGATCCAGGTATCGACAGATTGTAGAGCCATGAATGTGCATATGTATATAAAAATATTTAATTTAATTTTATATTACTGGTAACAAAGTCAATATTAATACCAATCAAAACAATATTCAAAGATCTAATTACAGTGTTGAATTGGTAAACTGTTTAATAAGTTTATTTAAAGGATCGATAAGTTTACCCTGATCGTAATTAAATTCCTTGGCTCGGTAAACAACATCTCCCTAAAACTTAGGATGTGCTATCCCGCTTGAAATAAGTTTTTTACAGGTACAACCAAACTTCAAAACCAAATCTGTATATCTGTGGAAGAATTTGGTAAAGGTTTTAAGTATTTTGTGGTAGCTTGCTTATAATTTAAAATGTGAATAGCATCTCTTTGGGTCCATTTGCAAATGCTTTTGTGTTATTTTTCGTTAATATTCATCAGTCATTCTTATGATAAAGTACATCATTGTACGTATTATTGTAATACATTTTCAATATGAGAATATTGGATACAAATGTCTATTAGATAAACCTTGTTTCGGTGACTTTAAATTATGTATTAAATTTGGGGATTTTTAATCAGTATCGGCATTTGGCTCTGAGCGTTCCGGATAAAAGTGAATCCAACATTTAGCATTGACCGCAAAAAGAGTCGCGTTCGGCAATGAAATTAGGAAGGAAACCTTTGAGGTACATCAGTTAAACACTCTTTGGTTGAACATTGACTTTTGCCTAAGTCCAGCCGATTCGGACACGTGTATGCGTATTGTTTTAGTATTGGATAAATGACATATTTTAGAGTTTGACAAACACATCAACACTCATATACACTCTTGATTATAAACAAATGTTATATATGTATGTATGACACTCAAATGTATTTAAATTACATATACTATCATCTGTTTTGTAAATATATTTTTATTTACTATCATTGTATTTTTATCTTATAGTTTTGCATTGTCATATCAAGGGAATCCTTTACCACATAAGTTTGCTTTTTGGTTGTGATCATCAAAACTAATATATATATTATTATAAAAAAAATATATATGTATATGTATGAATACAGCTGGATTGATGGTTTTATAGTTTTATGTGTTTATGTCTCAATAAAGAATAAGATCGATTGTTTTGGTATTTTATATTATTTATGTATTTACAGTGTCCACCCATAATGAAAAAAGATACTTCTATGAGAATTTAATAAAATCAAATAGATATTATTTGCAAATGTTCGTTTGTGTTGCGTTGTTTTGTATTCTATCGTATTCTTTTATACCTGACATTGCCTTTTATTTTATGGAATTTAGACTTCTTTGTAAATTTTAAATATTTTTATAGTGCAACATTACCCTTTTTTAATGCTGTAAAATAAATTTTTGTTAATAGCAATTATATCAATAATACAATTTTATACAAGATAGTGTTTAATCAATGGAATTAAAACAAATATAATCCAATTTAATATAACAACTTTACAGAAGAAACACATTATTATTCAAATAAGTCTCAAAAGACAGTTAAATCAAATTTTCATAATTTAATCGTTTGCCTCCCTTTTTTCTATGTAATTTTCAATGCCATCTATGTAAACAAAATCATCCTCACTGCTGCTTGTATCACTCTGTCTTCCCGAAGGACATTGAGCCACTAGAGATATATCGACATCCGCATACACTGTCCTGTCATCCAAACCAATTATTCTTACTGGGTCTTGTGAAGCTGATGGTTCAAACATGACGTCAGCATAATTCAGTCGGCTTTCCTTAAAAACAAAACAAATTGACGTTAAATACGAAAGTATCAGCCATAGTGGTGATTGCACACATAAAGTATTTTTTCTGTAGTTAAATCGATAAAAACTACAATGTTGAATCTCTCAAGGTTAGTTCATGCTTTGAACTTCCGTAAATGATGTGAAAATAGTACTGACTTTCTAATTATTCACCAAATGGAAAAGAAAACTCTCTGAAATGAATATCATTATCTGGATTTAAGGCATAACATCATAACTTTATGTTGAAATAAAGAAAAATTCAAATATGAATTCAAGTTATACTGAACACAAATTAAAATTATTTAAAACCCAATTGTTCAGAGAACAATTTTAGGTCTTTCCACATCAATTTTCTAAGTTATTAATAAGAAGCTACTTCCGGTTTACTCAAAGTAACTATTGGCGTCCAATGATAGGTTTGTGCATGCTGATTAAAAAAAAATGTTTTCTATATACTTTTGTCTAAAATAAGGTAAATAATTTGCTAATTCCGGTTTAGAAAATGTCACTTCCGGTCTTCTTTAATAGCTTTATTCACACAGATTCCAAAAATATATGGTTTTTATATATTTTTGCCTTAAAAAAAGAAGATAATTTGCAACTTCCGGTTTAGAAAATGTCACTTCCGGTCTCATATGATAGCTGTATATACACTGATTCCAAAAATATATGGTTTCTATATACTTTAAAAAAGAAGATGTGGTATGATTGCCAATGAGACAACTCTTTACAAGAGACCAAATGACACCGAAACTAACAACTATAGGTCACTGTACGGCAAATCCCGTACATCATAGTCAGCTATGAAAGGTCCCGAATTGACAAATGTAAAACAATTCAAACGAGAAAACTAACGGCCTAATTTATGTTAAAAAAAATGAACGAAAAACAAATATGTAACACAGCAACAAACGATAACCACTGAATTACAGGGTCCTGACTTCGGACAGGCACATACACACAGAATGTGGCTGGGTTAAACATGTTAGTGGGATTTCAACCCTCCCCCTAACCTGGGACAGTGGTGTAACAGTACAACATAAGAACGAACTATAAAAATCAGTTGAAAAAGGCTGAACTCAGATGGATACAAATAGAAATTCATCTAACAAAAACACAGAGTGGACGTGGGAGGGTACTTGTACATCCCAACAACAAAAAGACACTAAGTACAGATCTGAGAGTACTCGCAGTTACTGACATCTAGTTTAACGCCAATAACAACTCATAAAAAAAATCATGCATCTAAGACTAAATTATCAGTCAGTACACATCCAACATCCAATGGATTTAGTGTAAAGACGACATAAACAGTCAAAGAAAAACATGACCTTGTTCAATGCCAAGATACAGGTATAGACATATTGTAGATCCATGAAAGTGTATATGTATATAACAATAATATTTAGTTTGCTTTTAATTCACTGATAACAAAATCAATATTAATACCAATAAAAACCATATTCAAAGATCTAATTGCAGTGTTGAATTGGTAACCTTTTAGAATAAGTTTATTTAAAGGATTGAGAAGTTTACCAGGATCGTTTCTAAATTTCACGGCACGGTAAACTGCCTATAATAAGGGAGATAATTAGCTACTTCCGGTTTATTGAAGGTCACATCCGGTCTCAAATGAAAGGTTTATAAATGCCTTTTTAATAAATATATGGTGTCTATGTACTTTTCCATGAAAAAAGTGAAAAAATGGCTACTTTCGGTTTACTCCAGGTCACTTCCTGTTGATATTTTTAAGGTCATATGTCACCCAACATTTTGCAAAAGACCCAATGGCCTTATAATGAACCAAGTTGAAGTAATATTCAATTAACCTTATATTAAAGCATTGCAGGGGCAAGACCTCCTTTAAGATGCCATTAGATTGTTTCAGACCAAATGTATCATATCTTTATCACAATAAAGCAAATATTTTGCACTAGTTCTTTTATATATATCTTTAAAAGTGTCAGAGGAAATGCCGATGCAAGCAAAAGACAAAATTGAGAACATGGCCTTGATCTTTGACTTTGACCTCATTTTCTTAGTTAGGACCCAAGAGACTCAAATAAAAAGACTCTAGGTTTATACGGCTAACGGTTTATGAGTTACAAAAACATAACGACAAATGTTTGGTGAAGGTAGATAACTCCTATAAGATTTCACCGGATGGCTTCGATCCAAATCGGCCAAAAATTTCTGAGGATGTAACGAACAATTTAGAAAAAGAATTTTGTCGATATCTTTTCTAATACAAAGGAGATGCTAACACAAGATAAACAGTGAATAGTGAGATAACTCTTACACAGAAAATTGTTCGGCTAAAAAGGGTCAAATTTAAAAGCGCACAAACTGTACGATACTGTATATAAAATATCTAAGCGATATATTGCGAAACAAATATTTGACGCTAGACCAAACTTTGGCGGAAGAAAAACAAAAAATAATTAAAAACCAATTGTTCAAAGAACAATTGAAGGTCTTTCAACATCAATTTTCTAAATAATTGATAAGAAGCTACTTCTTGTTTACTAAAAGTTACTATTGGCGTCCAATTATAGGTTTATTCATACTGATTCAATAAATATATGGTTCTATATACTTTTGCCTGAAATGAGGGAGATAAGTGCCAACTTCCGGTTTAGAAAATGTCACTTCCAGTCTCATGTGATAGCTTTATTTACACTGATTCCAAAAATATATGGTTTATATATACTTTTGCCTGTAAAAAGGGAAATCATTTGCTACTTCCGGTTTAGAAAATATCATTTCCGGTCTCATATGATAGCTTTATTCACACTGATTCCAAAAATATATAGTTTCTATATACTTATGCCTGTAATAAGGGAGATAATATGCTACTTCCGGTTTATAAAATGTCACTTCCGGTCTGGAATGATAGGTTTATGTATGCCCATTTGAAAAATATATGGTTTCTAGGTATTTTTCCATAATATAAGTGCAAACACGACTACTTCCGGTTCACTCAAGGTCACTTCCGGTTGATATTTTTCAAGGTCACATGTCACTTAACATTTTCTAAAAGACCTTATTGCTTAATCATATACCAATCTGAAGTAATAATCAATTTACCTTAAAATAAAACATTTTAAGGGCAATAACTCCTATAAGATGTCACTGGATTGTTTCAGACCAAATGTATCATATCTTTATTACAATACAAGAAACATTTTGCACTAGTTCTTTTATATATAACGTTAAAAATATCAGAGAAAATGAAAAAACAAGCAAAAGACAAAATTCAGAACATGACCTTGACCTCATTTTCTAAGTTAGGCCCCAAGGACCTCAAATATAAAGACTATAGGTTCATACGGCTTACGGTTTATGAGTAACAGAAACATAAAACGACAAATTTTTTTGATAAAGGTAGAAAACTCCTATAAAATTTCACTGGATCGCTTCGATCTAAAACAACAAAACATTCCTGATGATGTAACGAACAAATATGAAAAAGAATTTTGTCGTTATCTTTTTTGGTTATGGAGGAGATACACTCACAAGAAAAACAGTGTTTGAGGAGATAACTCTTACAATAAAAAAGTCTTCGCCTTAAGGAGATAAGTTTAAAAATCGCAATAACTGTTCGAAATAATATTCAAAATATCTAAGCGACATCTTGCAAAACAACTTTATATATACCGCCAGAAAAGTTTTTGGCGGAAGAAGAAAAAAAAAATAATAATAATAATAATAATAATTAAAAACCAATTGTTCAAAGAACAATTGAAGGTCTTTCCACATCAATTTTCTAAATAATTGATAGGAAGCTACTTCTGGTTTCATCAAAGTTATTAATAGCGTCAAAGTATAATTTTTTCATACTGATTCAATAAAAAAATGGTTTCTATATACTTTTGCCTGAAATAAGGAAGATAATTGCTAACTTCCGGTTTAGAAAATGTCACTTCCGGTCTCATATGATAGCTTTATTCACACTGATTCCAAAAATACATAGTTTGTATATACTTATGCCTGTAATAAGGAAGATAATATGCTACTTCCGGTTTATAAAATGTCACTTGCGGTCTCAAATGACAGATTAACATATGATCATTCAAAAAATATATGGTTTCTAGGTACTTTTCCATGAAATAAGTGCAAAAAATACTACTTCCGGTTCACTACAGGTCACTTCCGGTTTACTTTTTCAAGGTCATATGTCAACCAACAGTGGCTTTATCATGTACCAAGTTGGAGTAATAATCAATTAACCTTAAATTGAATCATTTCAGGGACAATTACTCCTATAAGATATCATTGGATTGTTTCAGACCAAATGTATCATATCTTAATCACAATTAAGCAGACATTTTGCACTAGTTCTTTAATTTGTAATTTGAAAAGTGACAGAGGAGATCAAATAACAAGGAAAAGTCAAAATTTAGAATATTACCTTGACCTTTGACCTTGGCCTCAATTTCATTTAAATGAACCAAGAAACTCAAATCAATATACCTTAGGTCTCTATCACTTACCATTCATGCTATACATTTATATATCCCGTATGTCAAATACAGAAGGGGAAATAACTCTCATATGGAGTTTACGTATCGCTTCGGTCAAAATTGGACAAAACATCCTGAGGATATAACGAGCAATTTGGTAAAATAAATTTGTCGCTTTCTTTTACGGTTACGGAGGAAATGCACATACAAGGAAAACAGTGTTCGGGGAGATAACTCCTACAAAGAAAAGTATTCGGTTAAGCAGGGTCAATTTCAAAGGCGCATAAACTGTTCGATATCATATACGAAACATCTAAGCGACATCTTGCGAAACAAAAATTTATTGCAAGAACAAAATTTGGCGGAAGAAAAAAAAAATATAATCAGAAGAAAACCAATAGGTCTTTCCACAGAAAAGTGGAAAGACCTAATAATAATCAGAACAAATACAATAGGTCTTTCCACAGAAAATTGGAAAGACCTAATTAAAAACCAATTGTTCAGAGAACAAGTGAAGGTCTTTCCCCTTAAATTTTCAAAATAATTGATACGAAACTACTTCAATTCTGGGTTACTTAAAGTAAATTTTGGCGTACAATTATAGGTTTCTTCATAATGATTCAATAAATATATGGTTTCTATATACTTTTGCCTGCAATAAGGGAGATAATTGCCGAGTACCGGTTAAGAAAATATCACTTCCGGTCTCAAATAATAGCTGTACTTACAATGATTCCACAAATATATGTTTTTTATATACTAATGCTTCTATAAAGGGAGATAATTGGCTACTTCCAGCTTAGAAAATGTCACTTCCAGTCTGAAATGATAGCTTTATTCACACTGATTCCAAAAATATATAGTTTGTATATACTTATTCCTGTAAAAAGGAAATAATTTGCTACTTCCGGTTTATAGAAAGTCACTTCCGGTCTCAAATGATAGGTTTATGCTTGCTTATTTGAAAAATATATGGTTTCTAGGTACTATTCCATAAAATAAGTGCAAACATTTTACTGTGTGTATTGCTATACGTTTCTTTATTCTACATTGGTTAGAGGTATAGGGGAGGGTTGAGATCTCACAAAACATGTTTAACCCCGCCGCATTTTTGCGCCTGTTCCAAGTCAGGAGCCTCTGGCCTTTGTAAGTCTTGTATGTATTATAAATTTTAGTTCCTTTATATGTTTTGGAGTTTAGTTTGACGTCCATTTTCACGAACCCGTACACAATTTTATTTAGGGGCCAGCTGAGGACCACCTCCGGGTGCGGGATTTTCTTGCTGCGTTGAAGACCCATTGGTGGCCTTCGGCTGTTATCTGCTCTTTGGTCGGGTTGTTATCTCTTTGACATATTCCCCATTTCCATTCTCAATTTTATGACTACTTCCGATTCACTTAAGGTCACTACCGGTTGATATTTTTCCAAGGTCACATGTCACTAAACATTTTGTAAAAGATCTTATGGGTTTATCATGTACCAATCTGAAGTAATAATCAATTTAACTTAAAATAAAACATTTCAGGGGCAATAACTCCTATAAGAAATCAGAAATGTTTAAAAATAGAAAGGGAACTGATGTCAATATATAAAAACAATTCACCAAAATTTCATGAAATTGTTCAAAGCATTTTTGAATCATATCTTCATCACAATAAAGTAAACATTTTCCACTAGTTCTTTTATATATAACTTTAAAAGTATCAGAGAAATTGCAAAATCAAGCACAAGACACAATTCAGAACATGACCTTGACCTTTGACCTTGACCTCATTTTCTAAGTTAGGACCCAAGGACCTAAAATAAGAACACTATAGGTTTATACGACTTACGGTTTACGAGTTACAAAAACAAAACGACACATCTATTTGATAACGGCAGATAACTCCTATAAATTTTAACCGAATCACTTGGATCCAAATCAGCCAAAAAGGATGTAACGAACAAATATGAAAAAGAATTTTGTCGTTATATTTTTTGGTTACAGAGGAGATACACTAACGAGAAAAACAGTGTTTAGGGAAACAACTTTATACCGCAAGAAAAGGGTTTGACGGAAGAAGAAAAAAAAATAATAATCAGAAGAAATGAAATAGGTCTTTCCACAGAAAAGTGGAAAGACCTAATAATAATGATAATCAGAACAAAATCAAAAGGTCTTTCCACAGAAAAGTGGACAGACCTAATAAATGTTTGGATATTTGAAAAACATCTACGTACAAACAGATGTCGTTATATTAATAGTAATGTGAGTGTTACTATTATTCCAATATGAATTTCCTCAATATTGCATTACACCTGCCTTAATAACTTTTTTTGAAATAAATTAATACGTACCATAGATTGTTCAATTATGCCATTCGAGTATGCTATAGTTCCAGTGTCTTAAAGAAACATAATTACATATATAGCAATTATAAATTTAAAAAGGTTATTGCTGAATTGCATTTTCTTCTTTCAATGCAAACTTTGTATGACTAAAACATAAATTCAAAGTAAATGAACACTTTAGAAATTAATTTCGCCCGAATCGCCTGTCTTGATTTACTTCATTGGAAATGTACAAACATTTCAAAGACTATAGGAGTTGGAACCTTAGTTTCTTAATTGTCTCTAAAGTTATTAACGTAGCATTTACATGAAAAAAAATATGATATAAATTATATCTGTAACAAAGCACTGACTACTAACCTGCCTCGGGGTCTACTCATTGCCAACAAATGCAAATAAGACTTTATTAATAAGTAGTAAATTTAGATCATAATTATTTATCAATTGTTTTGAGAAACAAAATAATTTATGTCCAACTTCAAATTGAATATTGTTTTGAAAAAAAACTTAAACTAAATTTAAAAAATATACTCGAAGTCCATTTATTTCAAAACTAAAGACATATTATCAATTTCGGCTTCAAACAATTACTTTCCTGTTACATGTAATAAAAGGCTGACCAAGGCAACTTGTTGGAAACTCCCTCAGGCAAAGTTGACCTTAGATGAAATTGGTTATTCTATCAGGTTCTTTTTAGTAACATAGCTCTTAATGTTTCTGCCTATTTATACATCCTTTGCTTTAAAAATTTCTGTTTACAGCTTTACTGTTAAAGTTTAGTTTGGCAATTAAAACATGTTAAAAGTGGACGCACTAAATTATTCAGTGCCAAGTAAAACTGATGTTACACAAGAGGCTCTAAGGGGCATGAGTAGCTCAACTAAGTCTACGTGCATCTTCAACAATGGCCACTCTCCAACCTTGTTGACTAATATATAAATCATGACTAAAATATCTTTTTGGTGATCTTGTATTGCTCATTGTTTTTCTGGTAAAACAAATTCGTCATTTAAGGAGTATAACTCCTATAACTGACAATTTTATTCATGTTGACCTATTTTTAGGTCGTGTCTTGTTTGTCATTTTTGCTATTAAAGTTTCTACTAGATAACAAGCAAAAACGCCAAAAAATGTCATTTAAAGGCAAGAAGAAGTCGACTGACGATTTCGGGCATTTGACTTTTTGCGGATCTTGTCTTTTTGTCTTGTTGATTTTTTTTCTATACAAAAAAATATCCACCTATTATAGTTTTACGATAATAGACAAACACGCAAAAATTAGTAAAAATCGTGAATAAAGGTATATTGATCAAATAAGGAGTCAACAGATGATTTCGACTATGTTTCCTAATTTGTAGAGCTTGTCTTGATTATTGTATTTGCTATTTAAAGTTTCTCTCCATCTATGATAGTTTCAAAATAATAGGCAACACCATAGAAATTGTCACAATCACTCCAATATTTCTCGACTGAAAATTTTTGCTGTGTTGAAATGTTTGAAGATATTGTTTCGCTGAACATGTTTGCGTTTAAAAGTTTTTATCTATGTGTTAGAATAGTTAAGAAAATTGGATAACAAATGAAAAATCGTCATTAAGGAACAAGAACTTAAATAGTGAATCGACAGATGATTTCAGCTCTGTTGAGTTATTTGTAGAGTTTGTCTTTCCGATCATTGTTTTCTACTGGAAGTTTCTGTTTGCTTTTGTATTTTCAAGATAATAAGCCAAAACGATAACATAATTACTAAAATTCATCATTTCAAACCTAAAATCCAATGAGAAGTCGTCTGACATTTTTGATGTAAATAGACAGTAGGTAGATCTAAACATTCTGAACAATTTTGTAACTGTCAGATTTTCACTCTCTAAAGCGTTTTTCAAAACAATAGACACAATTTGCATTTTACCCCCTTTGTTCTATCTTAAACCATACGTGTATCGGACAAGTTGATTAAAACAAAATATCTAAACGATGAGCTCGGTCAAGTTTGGTTTAATTTGACCGAGTAGTTTCAGAGGAGAAGATTTTTGTAAAAGTTTAGTGATGACAATATTGGACAACGGACGCAAAGTGATGAGAAAAGCTCACAATCTATGTCAAAAATATGACTTTTTAAAAGAAGCAAAAGATACAAAAGAGATCATCAACTAATAAGTCGAAAATGAATTGACAATGCCATGGCAAAAAAAGATTAACGATCGAAAGACAAACAACAGTATGCCAAAACCAACATAGAAAAATAAAGACGGAACAACACGTACTTGACCAAAATACCGGGGATGATCTCAGGTGCTCCGGAAGGGTGGGCAGGTCCTGCTCCACATGTGGTACCCGTGCTTGTGTTTAATTCTTTTTGCCAAACATTCCCCTTCAATTAAGAATTGATAGTGAATACATAGGAACGCGGGATCAAAGGTAAACATATATTATGATGTTCGTGTTAAGAATTATGAAATAACTTGATTATAAGTGTCGAAAGAGTAAAACATATGAATATCAAGTTAACACCTAAAGCAATCTTGTTTATTAGCCGGTCAGCTTTTGCATATAGTAAAAAGCAATGTTTATGATCGTATAAGTAACATATTTGACTACTGATTTGTGATATGATATCAGATACTGTTTTCATATTAACTTGGAAAAGGAAAACTGGTAAAAGACCAGTTTACCCATGATCAGTTTATCTACCATATGTCCTGAAAAAAAACTTATTTTCACATTTGTTCAAGTCTTCAGGTAGGAGAAAACTGATATACCATGTTTTTGTATTTGATAATGAAATTAGGTTAGACGATAGACTCTTTATCAATCACTAGATATGATTCATCAATGTATTTTGACAAGAGTAACACGATGATTGTCAATGGTGGAGCAGGAACGGAAATTGATATATTGGTATTTATGCTATGCCGTATTAAATCAAATTTATGACGATGTCAAAAATTGTCTGCAGATATTAATGCTGAAATCTGGAAAATTAATTTTGTTTAAAAAAATTGTTTTAGTGGAAAAAACAAACATTATGAAAGAGACCTTTTTAACACAAAATTTCCGAACAATGAAAAGAACTAGAACACATTATTGCAGTCCTGTGCCCTATATGAAGAGCGGGAAAAAATGTGGATAAAGCGTGAAACATAATTTTGTGCTTTGATTTCATAGAAGGTTGATGTACAGGTAATTATTTATAACGTTTCCAAACCAAATCAGTCAGTACAGATTCAATGGATTTTGTTTCACAAGACGACATAAACATAAGTATCGGCAGGATGTAGGACCGTAAGTGTTAATAACTGTTTGAATACATATGTAGTCATATTCTAATTTATTAAAAAATAAATCAATATGGGTACTTATTGAAATAATATTCAAAACTTAAATTACAGTGCTTAATCGTGTAAATTGATAATCTTTTAGAATAAGTCAATTCTATGGATCGGTTACATTCATCGTGGCAGAATTTACGGGCTCTATCAACAACATCAGCGTAAAAAATGGGTATGTGTTAGACCAAGCGAAATTATATTTCCAGCTACAGCCAAACTTTCAAACCAAATCTTTGCATATATGAACAAATTAAGTAGAGGTTTTACGTAATTTTTGTTAGCAAAACCACTGACTTTATAATCATTTACCAGTAAGGTTTATTGAATTCTTCACTACAAACACGGGCATAGCGAACGAATTTTAATATATAAACACTGTAAAATGGTACCAAAAGAGCATCATTTTCCACAAAACAAAAACAACAATAGGAAACGACAGATCATCCCGTTAGACGTAAATTTTAGTGCAGAGCAGAGTTCCCTTGTGAAATTGAAATAAATACAAGGGAAGAACAGTTGTTGATGATTATATTTGATTTTTTTAAGTATGTCCCCTTAGGTAAATGTCGTCAGATAATTTAGGGAACTCTCGAATAAATGTCGTCAAGGTAACGTCAATTGTTGTTGAATTTATCTATTAAACAGAATCTAAAAGGGTCTTTACTGAGTTTTAATCTATACTGTGATTCATAAAATTACAATTACAAGAACTAGTCTACTGTCAAAAGGGGGCCAATTTATAAAGAAACTTTTCACTTTGTTTTCTTATTTTGACATTGGTATTATTAACTGGTAATCGATTATCAAATCACACTGTAAGAAAACGTCGAGACTATAGATCATGTCTTTAAATATCTTTAGTTTCTTTCAGAGGTCCTTATGTAAAATCCATAAATGAAAACGAACGCACGGTTTGAAAATTACTATACTCGAAATATCTAACTATTATGGTGCGACCTTAATAAATGATACCTGAAACCGTGCCATTGCTACTTGTGTTATCTGGTAGCAACGTACTGACAGGTGATGGCATCATACTGTTCTGGTCTTGCTGGACTGAATGATACATGACATTTTCTACGGGTTCGGCGAGTCCTTAAATATATTGAAATAACATAAATAAATATACATGTTCATCTCAAATAATATGTCATTTGTATAAAACATCTGTTGCACAACTCTCAATTTTGGATTTAAATGCAATTTTCTTTAGAAAGACAGAATTTTGTATATGTTTCTTATCATCAATTTGATTTAATAAGACAATCTTCGTTTGATTGTGTACTATAACCTTTTATGGCTCTTTGAGTCATAGCAGCTTGCAGAATGGTGACTATATTTTATTACATTAGTTTGTTGTGGAATAAGTATGTGGTAAGCACGTACAAGTTAGCATTTCGAAGATAGTTGTAGGAACAGGAACTTTTAATCCTGTTCATCATCCTGTTACTACATGTACTAAGAAACTCCCAATATCAGTACAGTGTTGGAAAATATATAAGTTATTTATACGAGCTTTAGAAACAGTGAGAAAAGTAAGGCTCGCAGATATTTTCTCTTCTTTTATAGCATTTATAGCAAGTGCAAATAGATTGTTTGTATTCCTAGACTGTACAAATATCGTGTTTATTCTTCAACATAACATTGAGCTAAAACGTATAATTATTTTACTACCAACGGTTAAATTATTTTGTTTTTAATGAAATGAACACGACTTAAAAGTACTATAATACGTATTACGCTTTTGTTATCCGTACACCTGTATTTGTATAGTAGAAAGGTCGATTGCAGGATTATTGATGATTACAAGTAACAATGATGCTATCAGTCATATTCGAGGCTAGTCTTACTCGGGGAAAGGAGGAGAAAACGGTGGCGTCCATAGGGATGAATGGGAAAATATTTACAACAAATCTAACAAATATCTACTATTATTTTTATTTTTATTAAAGTGAAGTATTTGTTTTCCGATTTCGGATACTTTGTTGGTTTAAATTTAATTTCTTTATAGAATAATTTATCTCTTTCTGTCTTTTAGATATTTTTATCTATATGTTGGTAAGAAATTATAACATAAAATTGTAAAGGATGTCTCTCATGGGGTTTCTGTAAAAGTGTAATGTCGACTGTAAAAGGTAAGTCCATTTATCAGTAAAATAGATAATTTAAAAAGAAAATCAAACTGTTTTTCTGTCGATGCTATTTTGAACTTGATTTTGAAGATACAAACATTTTCGTAAAATGCCATAAGGAACTAGTATGCAAAAATAATTGATATGAAACAAACTTTTACCCCAGACTGAATATAGTTATGAATTGCAAAACATTGAGTCCATTTTTCAGTGAAATACAGAAAAATGAAGAAAAATAACATTAATGGTACCAATTTTTCAGCTACAGATTCGCATTTTGATATTCAATGTCTTTTCGGTGCTGCTCTAGGCCAAAATGTTCGAAAGCCCAAAACTTATTTTAAAACATGAAAAGCTTGTCAACCAAAAAGTACAAAAAATATAGAGAAATCCCATAAAGCTTTGACAAAATAAGAGATATCTAAAGAAAACTTTAACCGCAGACTGAACATGAATATTGATGTCGCTGACGTCAACACTGACAATGACGAAATCTATGTGTGTTATTTCGTTTTTCCGCAACATAAATTGTGTAGGCTCGACGATAATATAGACACACTTTTCTTCTAAATTTACATGTAACCCACCTTCAACATTTTCTTCATTTTCGTCAATATTTCTGAAATTATAGAAAAAACAACGTTTCGAAATTATTCTGTATGTATTGTGTTTTCTGGATAAAGCGCTAACTTAACTGTAAATAATTAGTCATTGGAATAAGGTTGCTTAAATCCTTTGGACCCTTTTGGATACTTGTCTCATTAACAATCATACCACATACATGTATCCCTATTTCATATTACATACTAATTGCATGCTTCTTTTTGTTTATATGTTGTTCCAGAAGGGATGGGTTCACTTAAACATTACTTCACCATTGTTTCTTCTATTACGAAGATAACAAAAGTTGATTCAGAGAAGAGAGAAAGAGTTTTTGCTTTTTTCAAGTTTGAAATCAGTTACTAAAAGCTCATTAAATTGAAAGCAAAGACCAGTCTACAAATATGAAAACATCTTTATACTTGAAAATTCAGTACTATTATGTTTATTATTTATGTTTATAGCATGAACAGATCTATATGCATATACGTAAAATTTTGAAATGCGCTGATAAAAATGAGGAAATCGTTAAATTATTTAGTTTAATAACCCAAAAACTCATACGCCGATGCATGTGTACTTTATAGGTCAATACAGTCAATAACACTCCTGCACAACTTGAATCGATTTCTCTATTTGAATAGAGATAACGTTTCAACTATAGTAAATTTTTTGATATTCAATAGTTTTTCAGGTTGGCCTTAGTCATAAAATATAAAAACCCATATATTCACTAGAAAAAAATCCTTTTTACTTTTCCGCGCTGTTGTTCTTTTGTACATCTCATCGTCAGCTGGTTGCCAATGCGGCTATTTCATTAGTAATCTGACTAATGTTAACTCGTTCCACACCGTGCCAATGATCTCCTTATAAATTGAACTGAAGGCTCGACAAGATGTGTCTATGATGCTTGAATCAAAGCTAGGAAAGTAAGAAGCTGTTTTTTCTTGCAAAATATCACTTAGTTATCAAGTCAACAAGTTCGTTGCCTTTCCTGTTATTCACTGCCATTGTTCCTGTCATTCAATGACGTCATATACAATGCCTACGAAGTCCAGTGTTTTCTGACATTGATATGGATAGGTTAACTCGAAAGGCTTTTGGCAAAAACTGTGAGAAGATATTGAAAAATTAGCACAATTAGCTAATTGAAAAACTCTTTTCAAGGTATCATCTTTTTGAAAGATTTAAACTCGAGCATACATATTTCAAAGGACGAGAACTCATGACCGATCGAAGAAAAGGCACATCTGACATACAGAGACGGCTGTTTTTTTTCAAAATTAAGCTGACCGTATACAAAACTTTTAACCACTACGACAGACATTTTTGCAGCAAAACCTCACTGTTGAATGAATTGGAAGTCAGGTCACTTCTAACTTGAACAAAAATTCAGTTAATTTCGAGTCTGACACTCGAAAACGAAGTTATATAATACACGCATTATCTTTGTTTAACAAGAATGTACCTGAATAAGCGAAATAGTGACTTTTTATACAGACATTACATTGTTCTGTCAAACGATATATGAACACAAACGGAAGACAGCATAGGTAAAGACTAAAAATGTTATATGGTAATTGGAGCTCAACAAGAAGTTGTCTTTTATATTTTAGATGTCGGTCCTGAATTTGGATGGGTTAAGTTGTTTTTCTTTAAACCAATCACGAGGAGATAATTACTTCAATTGAAGAAATTCTAGAAGAAAACTAATGTTTTAATGTAGTTATCAAACTTTTTAAATACCGTGATAAAAAATCATCAATCTGGTAAACGTGCTAAGACAGTACGATTCGTTTGGGCACACGTTTGTCAGTAAAATATGGAATACTCTATATGAACATACCATATTTTATTGACGGAAGCACCTTTTATACTTAAAACAGTTTGAACAATTACAATGATAAAGTTCAACTGCTCAATAAAATGATAAAGCCATTGTCATGATGATAGAGATGGTTGCCATCAATGTCGTTACGGCGAATTGTTTTACGTAACATAATACTTTTAGGCTGGGTACAATTAACTGAGGATACATTCCACTTGACATTCAGTTCGAGATCTATCTATACTAAGTATTGCAGTTCTTTTTACTAAATTAGTATGATAAAAACACAAATACAGAACAATGATAATGTGTCTTATTGAAACAATGCCTCACCAACAAATAATAGTTTTAAAGTTAATGTGATCACCACTTCCTGGTAAACTATTTTAAATCAAAAGTTTGACAGTTGCCGTGTTGACTATTGAATTAGCTCTTCCTTTATGATCTCCTTCCGTTCAGTATTTCCGTCAATCGTCACTAACACATTCAAATTCATTTGAGAAGACAAATGATTAATATGTATGTTAGTCTTGCCATGCAAAAAATGCCATTTAAATTACTAGAAAATCATCACTGTACCTGTTGCCGGTCCTTTTCTTCATTTTCACTATAACAAAAAATTTGACGGTTACAGTTTACGCGGAAAATAGAAACGAAATATAATATCATTTGCGATTATGTGCATGTATAGGATATTGTGTTATCAAAAAGATATCATATTCCATCCTTATATAAACATGATAAAAAACTTAAATATGCTACAAGTACTTTTATACTTTTGAGAAAAAATAATGTCAAAAATGTTTTAAACAAATGTACGACATTTTCAGTAGCATCTAAATCATTAGTTCCTGTATTTTCAACATAATTCATGTGATGCCATTTCTTCCAGGATTAATTATAAATGCCACACAATTTTTGTTTTGATTATTTAGGATTGATAAAGAACAGATATATTTGTTTTAGCCATAAATCATTTGAAAATAATATCCGAATATTTCTTCAATAAAATAATAATACAATTGTGCAGCTGTTTAAACATTTTAAACTCGGGAGTTTTTGAGTTTGATAATGTTGTAAGCTCACCTGACCCGGAAGGTCAAGTTAGATTTTCTTACCACTTGGCGTATGTCGTCTGTCGTCGTCGTCCGTCTTCCGTCGTCTGTCGTCCGTCCCGTTGTTAATTCATTTATTTTTAAAACAATCTTGTAATTTCCCTTGAAATTGCTAAGCCAGAACAATTTTGATAGGTGAAAAATATCTGTTTACATCGTCCCAGGAATTAAATATAATGACATTGTACAAGTGTTACTATTTTGAAGCTGATTCACATCTGCATGTAGCTTTTGTAAGTGGACGATTTTATGAACAATTTTATGCTCGTTATAACTTATATATATATAATATATGATTTGGCACAAGGCAGGATAAATATGAATATTTTACAACACGATATGCAGAAAAATAATTGTGTACAAAATTGAAAATAGATTTTCGCAAGGTCAGATAAACAAACAGACACACAGACTGAATAGGGCCGACATTCCACGGATCGCTGGAAAGGGTATATTCCCCTTTCACATTCGTGGTCGGCAAACAAATACTATTATCAACCTTTCTTGTTCATATTTTCTGTGCAAACTCAAGACAATTTCCAGGAAAGTCCAGCATTTTTAAATGCAACACTCAAAATAACCATGACGATGTACACAATTGAAGATAAACTACAACCAAATCATGTTCTAACTTGTACTTGATGTATTGAACATAAATGGGAGGTTCATGAATAAACATGATAATCTTGCTCAGAAACTTAGATGAGTAATTTCATTAGAAAACATAGTTTAAACTCGAAAAAAAAAGACCGATTCACGAAAATACACACAGATACCAACCGGACACTTAAACTATTATAAACAAACCTCACGATTTATATATATTGAGGGTCCAAAGCGTTTTTCTGGATAAAGGCGACATCAACATTATCAATCTAAGAAGGAAATATAAGTAACAGGAAAATAAAAAAAAAGAGGAACAGTGTACACCAGTGATACCAACCGCATAGTAAACAGCCGTTTTCAACAGTCCACATACATTAATATGTCAGCAATGAGTAGCTGATTAGAGAAGTGTTCAAGAAGTCTAATACAAAAAAGGTTCACCTAACTTACAACTTTTCTATGAATTCTCGTACTCGAAATAAAAGCACAGTTTTTAGACAAAACCGTTAACACTAAAATGTTGCAAGCATGCCCTTTTATGGAGTTAATATCTCTTTTTCATTTTCATTTTTTCAACTAGTTGTTATATGATACAAGTTACCAATGAACTATGTTCACTACTGCATCATTATTAGTAAAATACTTTCCTTATTTGTAATCAATTCTGAAAAGGATTAAACAGTTTTGTACATTTGCATATGATTATATGGCACAACATACGGTTTTTCACATGACAAGCTCTTAATCGCTCGAGTGTAGAAAAAAACCGAATAGGTTTACATAGACTGCCATAGATATTCGGATTCCTTAAATTACAAAAAGAATTGAATATAACTTATCAAGATATTGTGGGATTAAATTGTGTTCTTCATATCATTATTATCTAACTTGTAATATGGCTCAACTTAATAAGAATATGTACATAAAAATGTAAACAGGGAAAGCACTTACCTCTATAAACAAAACATAATAGACAACTTAAGCTTTTGATAAATATTATAGAGACCAGTCAAAACGTACACCGACGATATGAAATCATGCATTCTTACATCGTTATATCAGCAATTGTATTTCGGACTAGCTTTGATAAAGTAGCGTCATAAAAAGTACTGGTATTTCACATTTTTGTAATGCACTGGTTATATTTATACAGAATTACAGGTGTAATGTTTATATAAATAAGGAGATTTGGTATGACTACCAATGAGACAACTCTCCACTAAAGTTCAAATAAAGTGGATGTTAAAAATTATAGGCAACAGTACGGCCTTCAACAACGAGAAAAACCCATACCGTATAGTCGCGATCGGCTATAAAAGGCCCCGACATGAAAAATATGAAACAATTAAATTGAGAAAACTGACGGCTTAATTTATAACAAAACAATTTACGAAAAAACAAATATGACAGACCTGAACCAACGACAACCACTGAACTACCAGCTCCTTACTTTGGACAGACAGGCACATAACGAATGTGGCGGGTTAAACATGTTTGTGAGTGCTCAACCCTCATCTAACCTGGGACAGTGCTTAATCTTGTTTCAATCTATAAATAGGTGAAATCCCTTTCGTTTGATTGACTTCAAGGTGGATGATTGGACAAAAAAGTGTACAATAGTCAACACATATACTTTAGATTCATTATTCATTTGTGGGGTATTAAGTGTCGTGAATTCGCTTGGAAAAAGGTTAACCACAAAAACATTTGTTCAACGGTATACAAATTTTCTATAGGCTTGTATGAAGACTTTGGTAAAACTACGAAATCAAATATCCATTTTTCATTTCAATCCACGAAAATTAGTACCCGCGAAAATAAATGAATCCATAGTATCTGGCACAATGTATGAACAAAGATTATGTTATAACCTTTGTCAATATATCTGCTTAACCACATTGATAGATATGAGGACGAAAGTAGTTCTTTTTATTAATATGATTACACTTAGGAAAGGGTGGTGAAATACAACTTTTTATCATGCCGACATAATCATGCTACATATATAAATCTATATACGTGTGTGTTTACAACAAATGTAATAAAAGGTTTTGAATTGTTTTAATATATTAGTCGCTGTTGTGAATGTTTTCAATAAATGAAAATATTACGAGTATCATAGAAGTCATTGTAAACACAGACCTAACCAAATAAGGAATATACTCCTTAGAAAAAGGATCCAAGTATTATCAACATAAAAAATAGATATATATTTTTCAATCCAGTTTTTAATAGTTAAAATCAGAAAAACAAATGTATCTAATGACAACTTCTGCAACCATTATGCCTTCCACAAAGTCAAGTAAAATTCAATATAATGACTTACCTAACATTGCATTAACAAATTTTTTTGTAAAACTTACCTATTATGATCAGAATGATAGCAAAACATACGACAATAGAAACTAAGACTATTGTAACTGTTGGCTTTCCATTGTTCCATTTCCTATCTGTCTCTTTGTTGTCTGTACAGTAAAGAACAAATTTGAAACACGATTACAAATTTCGTAAATGCAATTCTTTATTTCAAAATCATTTGACAATGTTTTGTGAAATCAGATACCGATTTCATTCTGCAGGACACTTTTTCTGGAGAAGATTTGATTTCAAACATCATTTACCAAGAGTTTGACAAACCGAAAAGTAAACAAAAATATAAGAGACAAAAAAATAAAAATAACCTAATATAAAATCCGAATTATCTTTATAGACTACATTTAAAAAAATGAATATCTGAGTCTCATCCCTGGAAAAATAATGCAAGGAACTATCCTTGTTTTTTTTAGGACAGTACTGTACTGTTCTGTACTGATTCTAAATTCTTTACATGATAATTTCATGCAAATAATTTTCCTTAATTAATTTTAACCTACTTGTCTGTTAACTGTTGGACGTTAAACTTATTACTTTCAAATGATCAGATGCAACTGGTATTATTCTTGCTTTTATAAAACTAATTAATACAGATGGGACCAATTTCACTAATTAGGGGCCATTTATGAAAACAAAACATTCCACCATTAAAACTATTGACATTATAACAGCTTCATTGGTGTAACTTGAGACTGAAACAACATAATTTAGTATTCCTGGTATGTAAGATGAGTATAATAATTCGATACAAAATCTTATACTTATATTATTTAGACGCTTTAACACTAAAAATGTTCTAACCTACATTCGTTTGTTAATATTATACATGTTTTAAAAATCGTGTTCTTTTTTGTATGAAGACATTTAATAAGTTAATGGAATGTAAACGATGTGTCCTTTATAAATCTTGTAAGTACTTACTGGATGAAATTAGATCTACGATAAAGCTTTGACTTCCAAATTTATTACATACAGTAATATTATACATATGAAAATGGCTTGGTGTCAACTTGGTAAAATGAAATGCAACTTCAAGTCCATTCACTGACACGTTTACTCCATGAAAAACATCCTTTACTTTCACGGAGTCAATTGTTATCCTTGAAGGATCTTTAGGTTCCAATATACCATGTACCTTACTTATCTCATTGCAAATTAAATCAGAATAACTCAAAACATTCAGTTTGATAATAGTTTGCTGTCCTGTTAAGCCGTACTGCGTCGGACTGTTCTCCTGCACGATTACTGGAGGACCTAGAATAAAGCAGTATTTAGAGTATAATTATTACTACAAATTTAATCAACAGCTGAAGTTAAGGAAGTCTATCTCAACTATCTGAACAGTGAGGATTTTACAATAGCGAGTGCCTGCTAGTGTTATATTGACTAAATTGCGTCATTCAATGCAAATTTGGATATTATTTTGTCATACATACGTCTTATGCGTTAAAACGATATCAGCCTAATCAATGATCAGTTTGATGTAAACAAAAATGCCTGTAGAAGATCAATGGTGGTTTTTAAATGGGTGTGTTTACAATTCTAATAATAAAGACACCTGCACATGATCCTTTTGTAGACAATATATCGCCAGTTCGGTCAACTTGTTATTCTAAGTTTTGAAAGCATAGGCAATAGACGTTTACCGATTATCAGATCTCATAAATAGACTCACAAGACAAATCAATGTACAAAAACTTTGAGAAAATTGCACTGACTCTAAAAGCTACGAGACCAGGACTTCGACAGGATAAGCGTTCCCTGTTATGCATGCACCGGCCGCCATGCAATTTCACACTTAGTCAAACTGTCACTATCGGAAATAGGACATACTCGGTAAAATTACTGATTAAAGGATTACATGTATTCCGGTGTCTTAAGATCTAAAATTGTGGAAACATTTCGTATCGGTCAGCAAATTTCGTGATGAGAACCGTAAATGTAAATGTGTATGTTCTATGAAGCGTTACAAATTAGGGTTACCTTCCGAAACAAAATACCCTTTCCCTGCATGTTCATAATTACTGTTTACATCTGGAATACCATTTGTAACTCTACATATATAAATTCCACTGTCTTGATACCTATTTAACTTCGATTCGCTACTTGGAAGAATGAGTATTCCTGTGCTTGAGGAATCTAAATATCGTATGTGTTCATTATATTCAGATCGATGTTCCCACGGACTATACGTGTACTTTGTCGGTATTCCGTCTGCTATACACTGCATGTTCCTTTTCCGTGTATCGATAGTTACGTTCTTATATTCTAACTTAACATTTGGTGGATCTGTAAGCAAACAAAAAAAAAATATTCCAAGCAATGATAAGAAAGTATACATTTTACGTATGTATTTTTTATCGTTGCTACTTTTTATATGAGTATACACTACGTTTATTTATTTGATCAGAAGTTAAATATTTTTCATAATTCTTTACTTCGAAATATAGCAGTTTCTTATCTATAACAGGAGTTTATTACTGTTCTCTCCTATAACTATAGTGACCATGATGAATCAATATCTGTACAGTTTTGATTTGCAGGATACATAAGATCGCAATGTTTGTAGAACTAGGAAGATGCATACATTTCAATTTCACGGTTAACATTTTTCAACTCGTTTATTTTTTTTTAGTCTTTTTAATTCTCATTGCAATGCTGAAGAAAGTTTAAAGCGTATCTTTACATTTTTATGTAAAATGTTCCATCGGAAAATAAGAATCATAGATTGTCCGTAACAAACAACAATGAAAAGGTCACATTGGGTGTTAACAAATCTTTCAAAATTAGTACGCTCTTAGCACATTGCAAATGGTGGCCCGAGAACACAGTTATTTCGTAGTGCATTTCTTTTAGACAATAAATGAAAATTAAAAAAATCCCACCTGCGCTTTCTCAATAATATTTTTACAGTGTGTTGTACCCCTTTTGGGACAAATTATAGAAAACTTCATCAGCTCATTTTCAAAATATTGACATTTTTATGTTAAGGGGGTCAGGAAATCTTTTGACAGCTTCCGAAAAACTAATGTTTGACCTTTTTCAGCTGGACCAAATCACTACTTTACTTTAAAATTCATGACTCAAATTTTTTTAAAGTGTAATTTCGTCCCCCTACTTGCTATTTGAGGCATAAAACATGAAGAAATAAATTTGAAAGGGGTATAAAAATATCTGCAAGTAACGCACTGGTTACACTAAGGACTATATTTGTGGACAACGAAAATCAAAGGACGATAACTGTGTTCCTGGCACGATAACTGTGTTCCTGGACCTAATAGGATAGAAATACTTAACCAATCTTAATAAAACTTAGTATGACCAAAGCCTAATGAATTGTAAGACTGCTGACAAAGTTTCATGGCAATAATATATATATTATAGACAATATGATAAATTCTATATTCAACTTTGCGTGTTAAATTTTTACGCCAAAAATAGAAAAATTTCAACTATCACCATTTGGGGCTTTAAAAATCAAAATTTGGCAAAAAAATTCCTGTAAATGCCTTAATAGTTAACATATCATGTATTTTAAGCAATAGAATAGTCATTTGATGTATCAGATTTATCACAATTACTCAAAAGTCAAATTTAAATGAGCCTGTGCCTGAAAATGGAGGTTTATCAATGAAGGGGAACCTTACATGAAGATGTAATATTTTCCAGCAATTTTAAATTTGTGAAGTTTTTTGGTTATAAATAATCCTTACATATGTATTTAATGTACTTAAAATAAAATGGAAAGAAAAATTACAAATAGCATATCATATGAGTATAAAATGGTCTTAGGCCAAGTAAGACTGAAAATAATTTAGGATCAATTTAAGCCGTAGCACATATTTACATTCAAAAATGCATACTGAAGCTATGAGAAATAAAAAAATTGTTTCTTTTCTTTCATTTCTACACTCAGGTTACATAATAAAAGAAATCTGAGTACAAAAGGACTCTTGCATTCAACTTTTTTTGCAGACAGTATGGTCTGATACAAAGATTTTTCACTTTGTAGTGAAAAACTTGCATGCGATTTTAATCACAACAGGCATATATTTGAACCACTTGCTATCCTACAGAAGAAAAAAAGATAGTATGTGAAATGAAACAGGTACAAAAGACATTGTAAAGTGCTTTCTATACAGACTTAGTGAAATCTTTATTATGGACTTCAACTTTTATGTACCAAGCTCCTCATATTTAACTTGCTCCAAACAGCTCGTTAGACTAGGACCATTCATACAACACATTTTGCACATTTTGTCTGAGATAATCTACTTTTCTGTAGATTCAGAGTTCACAAATGAATTATAAAACTTGATTAAAGCCTAGAAACACAAATATTGACACATGAAAATATGTCAGATAGAAAGTCAAAATGGCACTTATGCATCAAATTTGAAAAAGCTTTGTAATGCTTATTTTGACCATATAATGCCAAAATGTGTCATTTTTACAGAATTTCTATCAAATAAAAGTTTAAATCCTTTAGTTTCATGCTACTTAACAAATTGACACCATTAAATCATTCAGGGAAGTTGCCAAATTACAGATTCTATATTTACTGCTTTCATCTCTTAGGTTCGAGAACACAGTTATTTCGTAGAGCATTTCTTTTAGACAATAAATGAAAATTTGAAAAATCCCACCTGCATCAGCTCATTTTCAAAATATTGACATTTTTATGTTAAGGGGGTCAGGAAATCTTTTGACAGCTTCCGAAATGCTAATTTTTGACCTTTTTCAGCTGGACCAAATTCAGACTTTACTTTAAAATTCATGACCCAAATTTTTTTATAGTGTAATTTCGTCCCCCTACTTGCTATTTGAGGCATAAAACATGAAAAAATAAATTTGGAAGGGGTATAAAAAATATCTGCAAGTAACGCACTGTCTACACTAGGGACTATATTTGTGGACAACGAAAATCAAAGGACGATAACTGTGTTCCCGGACCTGGTATAAGGTGATTTCGCATTAGTTTAAAACACATTGATTTAGTGTCTTATACAGGAAAAGGTTTTATAAAACGAGATAATTTTGCATTCCGTTGCATTATACGTTGCACTACTTGTTCCCACAATTACAGTGTGTATTTTCATGAGTTGCACTAAAATGAATTGATGCCATCCACTCAATATGAAAACTTGTAAAAAGATAAAAGTGATCAATGGTTTTATTTTGATTCTTACATTTTACTATAACTGTTGAAGTTGTCGATCCTTCGCCAATTTGATTTTTTGCTGTACACGTATAAGTTCCGTTGTTATTTCTGGTTATATTTGAAATTACTAAGCAAGATGAAGTTATATTAAAGCTACTAATTAGTCTGTTATAACCTCTTGACCACCAAATTGCATCTGGTGCTGGATTGCTATCAACATAACTGCATAAGGATATAGTTCTTCCTTCGTTCACTTCGTTTACATTATTTTTTATTGTAACATTCGGTTTATCTGTTGAAAATCAATAAATTATGTTATTATTCTGCCAATTCATTTCACACGAAACAAAATATACATTGCATAGAAAGGATAAAAATATTAAAGTCATATGATGCTTCAAATTTTGCAATTAGATAGGTTTTGTAAAATGTTTCTATCCCATGAGGTCAAGTCTTCACAAATGTACTGCTATTGCATTATTGTATTCTCGTACTCTATTTGGCCAACATCTTTTACGTATGTAGTGACCTTAACCATGACATATGTCGTTGAAATTCGGCCGTATAGAATAATGACGTTTTACTAATATACATGTATATATATATATATATATATATATATAACAAAATGAAATATCGGTTACATACAGTTATGAAACAATTTGAATTTTGTTTCAATAGATTCAAAGTAATCATGCATTCATTTTGAACTAACCACTGTTTTCCAGGGAATATTAATAAAAAAAAAATCATACACATTACAACATACACCGATGGTGATAGACAACATTCAAGACATTCAGCCAGATTATAAGTAAAAACGTTCTGACCTTAAAAAAAAAATTAAATAAAAAAAACCTTCAGACCAACTGACATGTCTGTTTCAAAGAATTCCATGTCAGTCGTGGAATAGAAACATTTTACAAAACCTATCTAATTGCACAATTTGACATGTTAACTTGTCAGACAGGCTTCCTTATCCCTTGAACAGTCATTGGAAAACTACAAGAAAATTGGGAATGGCTTAAATAAAAAAAAAACTGTCTTTAGATTTCCAGAGCTTTATCACATGTCCTAGTCTTTTAACGTTTCAAACAACAAAAATGGACTGTGACTTAACGCTCTAAGATATTGCTTTTTTTTTTTCACATTTTTCAATTAATGTCATTGAATAGTTGCTTTTGTTTTTATTTTATTTCAGAACTTGTCAAGCATCAGTGGTAAATTTCAGGGTAATTTCTAAGGCTTGCAGATACATAAAAGATAAGACTAGTAAGAGATTGAACACGTTTAAACAATTTAGACTAGAAAACACTTTGTTTCACATGAATACCACAATTTAACAGATGCTATTGAAATAGAATAACAGTAACGATAGCGTCAATTTTAGTGGAATATTTTTTATAGCAAATGGCAAAAAGAAAATACGTTTCGTACATTCTTTAGCTAAATGCATAAAATATTGAGCTGCATGTTATCGTAGTAGTCAAATATTGTAAATATCCCAAAAGGTATCAATATATTACAATACTATGGAGTTCAGCTTAAAGAGACATAAAACATAATAAACAGTGTATTCAAACCTACACTTAATTTCAATTTTTACTGTCTTTGACAAGGGAGCTGAGGTCAACATACTGTTTGCTTCACACACGAATTGTTGATGGTTATCCATTCTGTCTGCAGTAAATTCATATTCAATTGTCCCTTGCATTGTGGTGTTGATTACTGTTCCATCTCTTTTCAGTGTTAGTTTCTCTGGTGGCTTACCCCTTTTTACACGACAAACAACACTGAGGGGCCTTTGCTCTATACCAGTAATTTTCTCGTCATTTGTTGAATTTACAAACTCCATTTCTGATGGAGGTGCTTAGGAGGAACAAAAATAGAAATCAATTAATCCCTGTTCAATAATAGAAATGAAAGGGTATGGGGTATCCATCCATGACGCAAGATCAGTAGTGGATTTGATGGTAAATTTTAGCCAATGGGAAATATTGCTATCAAAAGAGTCCGTTATAATTGATAATAATGAAATTTAATGAAATGACTTTAGTAAAACAAGTAAACATTTAAAATTGCCGTCTGCTAAGAAAAAATGTTATGAAGCCTTAATGAATTTATTCTTTTTCTTCGTTTCTATTCTATAGTTCAAATAATGATTACTTTTTTTCCGTTTATTTTAATACAAGTTAGGTTAAAAATTGGCAATTAGTATAATAATGAAAATAATGATGTGAATAGTATCGGATATGAAACATAGAAATCAATGTAGAATCTAAATTATATGACAAAACTTTATATGAAATGGTGTGAGTCCAATTTGTGACACTTAATATGTTGTAACGCAAATTTGCCACTTCGTTGTGTCAGGCTACGAAGAATTGGTTTCGATAAGTAACATATGAGGTACGGCCGTTTTTTGATACTTCAAACTGAACTATAATTATCAAGACACCATTTCATCTTATTTAAAAATGATAATAACTCATGATAATTTCAATTTTTTTTTTAATCCAAACGATTGATTATTTTTTAATATATAAAACAGTGTATAACCTAAACATCAGGTAATGTATTATAATATATTATAAGTTTCATAATATTTATTTCACGACATTCTGCTGTTACTTTAATGTTTTTATAAAATAATTCCTTTGCTTGTGAATAGAACTGACACAGCTATGAAATTTTGCTGCACTGAGCCAATTCGAAACAGGCTTTAATACTGAATACATTGTATTTGTATCATTTTGACTGTCTAAAAGTGTGCTTTGCAATTAATTTTTTTTTGGATTTTCTATCTATAAATTATATCTAATTCTCCACTAGATCTAAGGAACTCAAGGATTAACAAAAATGGCACCTGTAGAGAAATCCCTAATTTTGATTACCAAAATTTGAACTCTGGTAGAAGTTTTACTGGTGGCAATCGAACCATATCTCCTTATGTTTTGAAAATGTTTTTCCCAAAAACAACAATGTGCCCAAACTACACATGCAAAAGTTTTTGTTATAATAGTAATTATCTGATTTCGAGTACGATGACGGACAACCAAAAAAAAAAAAAAAGCTAAGATATATGTTAACTTATTTGTTATCTGCATGTAATTGGAGAATGTAACTCCACATATTACAACCTCAATACTTGTATGTGTGCTAACGCTACAGAATAAACAGGTCTCGTCAAAATTGAAAAGACACATATTTGTAAATGTAAACATCGTTTTTGAATTTCACCATGTACACATATAGAGCAGGAAACGATTTCATCATAGAAAATTGTGTAATCTAGTTCTTTGTAATTTGAAATCCGAAGTCCGACATGCACATTCAAGCTCATTGCACAACAACTTTTGTAAGAGGGCAACCTCATTATTTCTTTTAATCTATAAGCACTTTAATTCCTGCTTAATAAGAAACAAAGTAATTATAACCATGCATTGTGTGCAAATAAATGATTTACCGGTGCAATATGAATAAAGATTGTAACGCAATTGATATCTCTAAGTATATACAATCCTATTGAAACTAATACAGTTGCCGTTTTTGTCGCGTTGTGTCGCTTCGTTGAACGTTCAATAACCACTGTAATAATTCTTTTTAAAGCTGCAATTGATAAATAACGGAATCTAATCACAGAACTAAAATCTAATCAGATACTAGGCTTATAATTTGGTACGACTGTTGTACGGATGTGCATACTACAATGATGAACATTATTGCAAAGCTGAAATGTTATGTGCTTTCAGATGAATTGTAAAAAGGTTTTCTGAGTTCATCCCTTTTCACAGGTAACACCTGCCTAATATTATAAGGTTAATTGATAATTACTTCAACATGGTTCGTTATAAAACCATAGGGTCTTTTACAAAATGTTGGGTGACCTATGACGATGTAAAATGTCAACCGAAAGTGACCTTGAGTAAACTGGAAAACGCCATTTTTTCACTTTATTTTCATGGAAAAGTACATAGAAACCATATATATATAATCATTTGAGACCGGATGTGATCTTTAATTAACCGGAAGTAGCAAATTATCTCCCTTATTATAGGCAAAAGTATATAGAAACCATATAATTTTGGAATCAGTGTATCTACAGCTTTCCTATGGGACCGGAAGTGACATTTTCTAAACCGGAAGTTGCAATTTATCTCCTTTTTCAGGCAAAAGTATATAAAAACCATATATTTTAAGAATCTGTGTGAATTAAGCTATCATATACGACCGGAAGTGACATTTTCTAAACCGGAAGTATCAAATTATCTACATTATTTCAGACAAAAGTATAAAGAAAACACATATTTTTTTTAATCAGTATGCAGAAACCTATCATTGGACGCCAATAGTAACTTTTGGGTAAACAGGAAGTAGCTTCTCATCAATAACTTAGAAAATTGATGTACAAAATATTACATATCACAATCGAAAATATAGTTATGTGCATTAATATTCTACAACTGCATACAAATAAAAAAAAAAGTGATAAAAAGTTCGACCTTTTAGCTGTTTTTTAGTGATCCGTTACCTTACTGAATGTTAGGTCACACTCTATCAACATATTTTACCTTAATAATTTTGACACAATTTAAAAAAAGGAATTAGAAAACATGAAAAATTCCAAAATTGCTGCCAATTTTTATTCTTCCGCGAAAGTATCGTAAAATTATAAAGGTTGGCTTATATAGTATATGAATCAATAAACTCATTATAGATACCAGGATTGAAATTTTGTTCGCCAGACTCTCGTTTCGTCCACAAAAGACTTATTTTTTACCCCTGAAATGTTACCCATTGTTGTTTTTAAATGGTAGCAAAAATATACTTTGTTAAAGGATTGCGTTCTGAATTCTTATACATGTTTGTTCATTTTCAGTTCACTCTTCCTAAATCAACAAATATTTTGAAGTTCAAAAAGTGCAGCATCTTTATTTTATCGTCTTCAGTGTGTTTTGTGTTCAGAAAGATTTTCTTTCTAGCATTATTAAAAATGTGCTTGTAATAAGTGAGTCAATTTTTTTTCGAACTTTGTATTTTATTATTTAATTAGACTTGCATGTTAAAGTTTTAGATTATTATAAATGTAGTACCGATTTCCATGATTGAGACATGACTATCGAGACCTTCCGACTATTTCAAAAATAATATTGTATCTTGTTTCATGTCTTGTATTTTACCTATCTAATCAATATTTTCAATATACAAGTCTCCAAATACAATAACATTATGAATATTATGAGATGCAATTGATAGCTTGGAGTTCACTCACGATATGAGTTATAA